TTATTTATTTAGTGTGTGTGTGTGTGTGTGTGTGTGTGTGTGTGCATGTGCAGTCTTCGTGTCTACTCTGTCAACTTGGATTAACCCAAAGGCTGGAAGCAAAAAGCTGTAATCCAACAAAGTTCAGTCAGGTCATCTGGACAGTTTTTGTTTTTTTGTTTTTTTAAAATATTTCGTCCTTCATCCAAAATACTTCTTCAATCCAAGGAGCCACAAACAAACTCAGTCCCACAAGCAGTGCACTCTCATTGTCGACCAACCAATTTGATGGTGATAAGATGGTTTCTGGGGCCCGCCCTCTCCCCTGTCGACTCCCCTGAGGCAACCATAGCCAAAGTGGTTCAAAACATCAAAGTTCATGCTCTATAATCCAGGTAAAAAAAGAAAAACAACCAAGTTCAGTCAGGTCATCTGGACGGTTTCTTTTTTGTTGTTGACATAAAGCCATGGGTTCATTCAATAATAATAAAATTTGTTTTTAACCCCGGTTGAAAATCAACTTATCTTCAGTGAAGAGAGCAATAAATATTGAAGAATCTGTACGATACTTCAGTAATATTGTACTTAAGTAGAAAAAAAAAAATCAAGATTTGAGGTCATTTTCAGAATAAACTTTATGGGAAAGATTGAAACAACTTTAAAGCATAAATAAGAAAATGTTCAATTCATAAAAATTTACATCAAAATATTGTCGATAATCTTACATAAATTAGTGTAAGCACTGAAAAATACACTTTAATTCACATTGTATCCACAATGATATGAGTTCAACTCTGAACAGTGGAAAAAGTGACCAAGGCGGACACTTCTTTTCAGTCCATGGGTTTTATAGTTGTTATTTGGGTTTTAAAAATGTGTTGTTGTTTTTTTTAGTCATAGTAAAGTCAAAATTATTTGGTTAGGAAAAAAAGGATCCTCCATGTTTACTTACAAGGCTCAATCCCGAAATATATATTTTTTAACAAGAGTCCAATTTCCTGGATCAATAGATGGCTCGCATACTCTGTGTGTCTGATGGAGCTGCTGTGTGGTGCATCTGGTCTGACTGTGGTAAGCCTAAATGCTGCTGCTGGTACCAGTTCTGGTGCATAAACTCGTCCATGTAAGCAGGCGAGGACCCCACTGGAGGCTGATACAGACCCTGTTCCCTGCTGGCAGGATCCAGTACTGCATTGTTCTTAATGCTGCTTGTGTTTCTGACGCTGCTGGTGTTGCTGGTATTGCTGCTCGTGTTCTCCCACACAGCTGGAGATGGGGGAGAGTTGCAGGCCATAGAATCGCTGGCATCTGGGCTGTCTTCACATGCTATTTCCCCAAGTGGAAACTCTCCATTCTTGTAGAGCTTTTTAAACTTGGAGCGACGGTTCTGAAACCAAATTTTGACCTGGAAAGAAAAGCACAAAAGATTAGGATAACTTCTAGTTTGTTTTAAAATTATTCTGACAAAGACCATCATGAAAAGCTATGTTGCATCCCATTTGTTTCAGAAGTCAGAACTTGAATCTGGGAAGGAGGTCATACCTGACCGGGGCTTAATTTGAGCCAGATCCTGCCTGAACAAGATCCGAGAACTCTTATTTTGACAGGGTGCGTTCTGGAAACTGTTTGCTTGGATCCAGTAACTCAAGTCTCTACCTCTAAAAGTCCAAAGTCATCTTGCGGTTTTATTAAAAATCTCAAAACTATAATTAAACAGCACAAATAAATTGCAAATCAGTTCGACAGTTTTAAGTGGATTATTAATAAAAATTTTCATTAAGGTATTAATTAAAAATACAACGAGAGCAGACGTTGCCCTTGGCCTGGCGGACCCAGTCTGTGGAGCAGATATTACAACTGCAGCAGGTGTACCAGTTCCTGCCCAGCAGAGGACGGTATGTCCCACGGGGATGAAGCATCTTCATCCAACACCTTTAGCAGCGTGCCCTGCAGACAGCGCACGTTACGCACAGGAGTGTCTCCAGACAGCTCTACACAGAGAGCGCACAACTGCTGATGTGTCAGAACTCCCACATACATTTCAGACATAAATAAAAAAAGCTTGCAGTAAAAATACAATGACAGAAATGTATGATGTGTGTTATTCACATTACATCACATTTCAAAACAACAACACTAATTTGTCAAAATAACAGCGAGCAAACTGTCGAAAAGACCGTCCAGTTTACTTTAATTAAATAAATGGATGGATTGTCCTTAGTTGGATAATCAGAATCAGCTTTATTGTCATTGCACAGAGCACAACGAAATTACATTTCAGCACAGCCCATCCGAAGAACCACAAACAAACAGACACAGACTTGGGTAGATGGAGTGACTGAGGCGGCAGCCTCTGAGAGGCACTCCGTTTTTATTCATTAGATAAGGCAAGTGAAACACATGAGGAAAGGAAGGAGCTTTAAAAAAAAATCTCACACACTGTGTCTTTGACACACAAACACGATACAGTGTGAGGTAGTGAAAAACTAAATAGACATAAAAGGTTCACAAGACAAAGAGCGGAGCAGGGACAGAGCGGAGGAAAGAAGCATCTGTCTTCGCCGAGGGCAAGCAAGAAAATAAAACAACTATTGAGTGTTCAGAAACTAAAATATTTGCAATTGTTACATACAACGAACAGGCTAACAATGACTGGCAATACACGATGAAAAAATATATACCTCTTTGACTTGGAATATAATGTTGGACCAAGAGTCTTTGCTTTCTCTTGTTTTTAGGAATCAGTTTACAGAAACTGTAATTTTGTACTTTTGGGACCAGAGTCCCAGTGACGTGAAGCTTTAAGTCCCACATACTCCCATCATAATTGTTGTTTTCATTTTCAGTAAAACTGTAGACGTATGTGGCTAAGTCTAAACATGAAACATACAGTAGTTGTGTTTCTTTAAGTAGAGTTTGAAAGAGATCTGCAAACAGAACATGGACTTATAAGAGCCAAGATTCATACATGCCAGTCTTTATGTGACACAAAGAAGAAGACATCGACAAATAAGTCGTAGGAACAGGAAGAAGGAACAGATACACAATGACAGGCCAAGAATCATGTTAAGATAGAAATAGAATCAAATTAAAACTATTCAATTTTAACAATTAATTTAAGGAAATAAGGTCAGTTTGTCCTCCAGTAGTCTCAGCCTATAGCAGCATAACAAGTCAACACTAACTATAGGATTTATCAAAAAGGAAAGTCTTAAGTCCAGTCTTAAAACTGGACAATGTGTCATCCTCATGGACAGAAACTGGAAGTTGGTTCCACAAGAGAGGAGCCTGATAACTGAAAGATCTTCCTCCCATTTGCTTTTGGAAACTCTAGGAACTGTCAGGAAACAGGTTTTTGGATTCTTAATAAGCCAGACACAGGAGTGCAAACACAAGAACAGTTTTTATTAATTAAGCTGCTGGTTGCTGGAGTCAGGGTACAAGGCGGGAGTCCAGTCTTAAAAAGACAGAGGTTAGTGACTTTGGTGAGGACGAGGGGATTCTGCGACTATAGTAAAAGTCACTAACCTTCTCAGTCTGTACGTGGCAGGTGAAATCCAGAAGCGTGGCCCGATGCTCGTAGCGGGGGTCAAGGACAGGGGAGCAGAGAGTAGATAGCCAGAGCCAAAACGTAGTACAAAGAGTAGTCAAGGGAGAGCAAGGGTCGTTACTGTGGTCAGATATGCAGAAAAATCCAGAGAGGGCAAGGCGAGGGGTCAGAAAACAGGTGAGGGTTCAAGGCTGTGGATCAATATTCAATGAAAGGCGTTACTATCAGGGACCATAAGAGGTGCAATAGTCCAGCAGGGACAGAGAGTGAGCATGGAGCTTAAATAGAGAGCTGAACAGGTGCATGGAATGAAGGCTGATTGCTGTGCTTATTCTGAGGGGGTGTGGTGAACTGTTGACTGACAGGAGCAGATGTGAGCAATGAGAGATGGGTGATAAGCAAAACACTGTAGGGAAACAGGAACAATGGCATAAGGGGCAGAAACTATGGCAGGAGAACACAGAGCATGAAGGCAGGATTATGGCAGGATGGACAGAAACATGGCATGAGGAGCAGAGGTGTGTGCGGATGAGGGGTCAGCGGGGGACCGCTGACCATTACAGGAGCCACAAGTAAGCCTGCAGTTTGAGAGCGAAGTGCTCTGTTAGGAAAATATGGAACAATAAGATCTCTAATATAAGATGGGGCTAGGATGTTGATATCTTTGTAGGTTAGAAGTAAGATTTTGAATTCTATTCTGGATTAAATTTTATTAAATTTAATTTATTGTGAAGCAGATGGTTCCATGGTTTGTTGGTCTCAAGGTTCCATCTCTGCTGTTTGCAGATGATGTGCTCCTGTTGGCGTCATCTTGTTGTGATCATCAGCTCTCACTGGAGCGGTTCATAGAAGCAGTGAAGCAGCTCGGATGAGAATCAGCCCCTCCACATCTGAGGCCATGGTCCTTAGCCGGTAAAAGGTGGATTGCTCTGTCTGTGTTGGGGGTGAGGTTCTGCCTCAAGTGGAGGAGTTCAAGTATCTTGGAATTTTGACCAAGAGTGAAGGAAGTATGAAATGTGAGATCGGCAGATTGATCTCTGGGGCTTCTGCAGTATTTTGGACTCCATGCCTGTCTGTTGGGGTGAAGAGAGAGCTGAGCTGTAAGATGATGTAAGATGGTCTAAGTACCGTCATCTAGGGCCACAAACTCTGGGTGACAGAATGAACAAGATCGCAGATACAGACGATTAAAATGTTTCCTTCGCAGTTCAGTTATCCAGGAGCTAGTAGAACCACTACTCCTCCATATTGAAAAGAGCCAGTTGAGGTGGTTTGGGTATCTGGTAAGGATGCCTCTAGGGAGGTGTCCCGGGCATGTCCAACTGGGAGGAGACCCAAGGGAAGACCCAGGACATGCTGGAGAGACTATGTCTTTCTGTTGGCCTGGGAACACCTTGGAGTCCTCCCAGAAGACCTGAAAGAGGTGGCCGTGGAAAGAGATGTCTGAACATCCCTGCTCAAGTTGCTGGCCCTCAACCCGACTCCAGAATAAGTGGAAGATGATGGATGGATGGACATACTACATCCATTACTCCTCTGTGTTCATATTGCTCAATGCACCATTCCAGAAGTTATATCAATCTATGCATCACATTTGGACATTTATTATTTTAAATTTCTGTTGCAAACATTGGAATATTTCTCAACAGACTCTTGAGCTCATTTTTTAAATCTCATTTTCATCTTTTAAAAGTTCAATTAACAAATATCTTTATGATCACAGTTTTTGTTACATTCTTATTGCTTTAGGTATTTCATTGTTATCCATACCTTTGATTTGTATAATCTGATGATTGCTTATCTGTTGTTTATATGTTATCCTTCTGCTGTCTGACCCCTTCTGTTTTTGTTGCCTCTTGGTTGTTAGTGAAAATGAGAATTTGTTCAGTTGACTAACCTGGTTAAGTAAAGCTCAAATAAATAAACATCAAAGTTGACTGGACCGTCCTTTTGATTAAAAACCAACATATTGTTTTCGGTCTTCAGACCTTTTAGATTTCCATCTTCTGCTAACTGATGGTTAAACTGAAACTTGTTGCAAAAGTTATCTTCTGTCACAAATAAACAACACATGATGGTCACATTGCAGACTCACCTGGGTCTGTGTGAGGCCCAACTGGGCAGCCAGTTCAGCCCGCTCCGGCAAGGCCAGATACTGGGCTGTCTGGAACCTCCTCTGCAAAACTGCCAACTGATAGCTGGAATAGATGGTCCTGGGTTTGCGCACCTTCTTAGGCTTCCCATTGACCAACCGAACTTCCATTTCTGGTTCCTCTTTCACTGTGTGGAGCAGAGAAACAAACAAAGTGTGTCACACTTCTCTCTCTTCATTAAATGAAATGTTTTCAGAAGAGAAGGAAAGTTCGTGCCGAGATTTTGTGGTACAAAAATAGAAACAGCCTTCACAACCCTGAACTTTCAAAGAAACTTCAGCAGCTAACTGAACAATTTGGCTTTAGGTTCTCTCACAGCTGGGAAGGGAAACAGAGATTCAAAAGGGAGATGCAAGCTGAGCTACAGCAAAGATTGACTAGCCTGTATACACTGCTCCACCAGAGGTCCCCGAGCAGCCCGGTGAGGCTGAACCTCCTGAGTGCTTGACAGTCACAGAAGCAGCAGTTCCTTAGATCCTTTACCCCAGGAGGTTAGTTTTAACACTTACCGTTTGTACTTTTACTGTTGCGTCTAATCATTGGCATCAGATGCATTTGTAATTTTGGGGGGCGGGGGGTCATCCCTCTGAAAATTTTGAATAAAGTAGATGCAATTTCCTGCATTCTGGTGTATTTTAATGAGTTGTTAAACATCCATGTTTACCTTCATATGTAAACACTTGATTCAATAACTATTTTAAAGAGCAACAAGAAGTAGCCTGACCAACAGCTCTCCTTGTGTGAATAGAGCATGCTCAGCTTCTCTAATGCATCCCAACTCCCCCCCACCCCAGTCTACAACTGCCGTCAACAACTGCTGTCACTAACGTAGCTCTAAGCTAGTGGTGCGTTACACAGATGTGCTAGCTAAGATGCTACAGACATGGCGCTCCGCTTCTCTCACACATCCTAACCCCACACCCTGGTCTGCAACTGCTGGCACTAACATAGCGTTAAGCTAGCATGCAACATAGAAGTGTCCCCCACTCCTTCTCCTGTAAGCACCCTGCTAAGCCAAGTGACCTCAGGGAAATACTGCATGTGGTGAGTTGTTGTAGGTAACCAGGAAAACCTGGAGTGGACTTTTACTGGTTTGAGTTTTCTCCTATTAATCAAATGGAATGGATTTGTTCATGAATGGAAACAGCGCTGGGTGAACTAATGTTTCATGGCAAATGTGTGTGTCTGTGTGGGGGGAGGGGTTTCAATGGATATTTTTTAAATGTGAGGGGGACACGTCCCCTTCACATATAATTGATGTGATACCTATGCATCTAATGTTTAACAGATTATTATTTAATACTTTCATAATCATGTTCTTTTTTATGTGATCTGAAAGATAACATTATTTCCACTTTCTTCCCTTTAGATCGGTTTAAAATGTGACACCTTTCTATACCACAGTCTTCTCAAAGTGTATTTATCACGATATTCAAAATTTTAGATGTACCTGTAATTTGGTGTGGTGATAGCTGAGATACATCCCCATTACATACTCTGAGCACTAACAGGTTGCGCAAGATTTCTGTCTAAAACTTTGGCATGCAAGCTTGTAAAATATATTAATTATTTAGAGGAATGCCACTTATATCTTATTTTAAATTTGTTTTCAAAAGCAAAATTGTCTAGTATTTATTGAAGTGGTACTGATCATTCTTCAGGCTTTCTAAAATCATTTCAGATTTTTAATATTTTGGATTTTAGCTGTTTTCCCACCAACAGCCACCCCCACATGCACTCATGCACAATTAAAATATTGTCTTTCTTGCAGTTTGGTGAGTTGATGGACTGCCTGAAGGCAGACACCTATTATTATCCACCAAAGTTCATGCTCAGTAATCCAGGTAGAAAGCCAAAAATATTCAGTCAGGTCATCTGGACGATTTCTTTTTTTGCCGAGACATTTTGTCCTTCATCCAAAGGACTTCTTCAATCTGAGGAGCCAACAATCAAAATGATTCCCACAAACAGCTCACTCCCATAGTGGAAAAAACAGTTTGCTGGTAATAAAATGCCCTCCGGGGCCCGAATGCCTGAAACGTCTCAACAAAAAAAGAAATAGTCTTGGTTACCTGACTGAACATTGTTGGATTTCTACCTGGATTATTGAGCATGAACTTTGGTGGTTTGAACTACGGCTGTCTCAAAGGAGTTGATGGAGAAGAGGGCGGGCCCCAGAGGCTATCTTAGCGCCAGCAAACGGATCTTTTTCCACTATGGAGTATGCTTCTCGATTGAGAAATCTTCTCGGATAAGAAACAAAACATCTTCTGTTACAAATAAAATCCAATCGTTTTTATCTTGAACTTTTTTGAATTTACGTCCTGGATGACTGAGAATCTTCACCAGCGTATGGAGTAAGCTGTTTGTGGGAATCAGTTTGTTTGGTGGCTCATCCGATTGAAGAAGTCCTTTGGATGAAGGATGAAATGTCTCAGCAAAAAAAGAAACTGTCCAGATGACCTTTCGTCAGTTCAGAATAAAGAGACAAGACAGCCACTGGTTTACTCCTGAGCTAGCTGACCTCCTGCACAGGAGAGATCATCTTTGGGCTGCAGCGAGAAAATCTGAGTCAGAGACTGATTGGTTGAGTTTTCGACAGATGAGGAATAAATGTACAACTGCTGTCAAAGCAGCAAAACATAACTATTTTTTTTATCTCAGACCTCCAAAAATCTAAATGACCCTAACAGATTCTGGAAAACCATCACATCTCTCTCAGGCAACCCCCAATCATCTGACCTCCCATCACAACTTCTCATTAACTCTGTTCCTGTGTCAAATAAGCACGAGATCCTGAACTGTTTCAACAAACATTTTGTTGCTTCTAGTTCTTTATTTGACACAGTCACTAATGGAAGATCAGCCATTTCACTTAATAACCAAACTTCTACAAATCAAATCCCTCCTACAAGTCAATCCTCAGTTAATCACAACTTCTCTTTTTCTCCATTCTCAGTCAGTGAGGTCAATAAACTGTTAAAAGATCTTGATCCTAAAAAATCTGCAGGTCCAGATGAACTTCCACCTTATTTCTTAAGGCTGGCTGCTCATATCATCACAGTCCCTGTGACCCACATCTTCAATCTCTCCATAAGACAAAACTCCATTCCAGACACTTGGAAAACAGCCTTTGTTCTTCCTTTGCTGAAGGGAGGAGACCCCACCTCACTGAACAACTATCGACCAATCTCTAAACTCTGCATTTTAGCCAAGGTTCTAGAAAAACTGATAAACTCTTAAATCAAAAATTACCTGGACTCATTTAACATCTTACCTCCACATCAATCTGGTTTCAGGAAACAACACAGCACAACCACTGCTTCACTGAAGGTTCTTAATGATGTTGTTGAAGCACTGGATGCTAAGGATTATTGTGCTGCACTTTTCTTAGACCTGTCTAAAGCTTTTGACACTGTGGATCATAACATCTTGTGTCATAAACTCTCAGAAATTGGTTTCTCAGAACACACCATTGGTTGGTTCTCTAACTATCTCTCAGATCGGAGGCAATGTGTTCAACATAATGGCACTTCCTCCAGTTATTTAACAGTCAACAATGGTGTACCACAAGGCTCAGTCTTAGGAGCCACCCTCTTTACAATCTACATACGTAATGTTGGTAAAAACATCCCTGATGCATCCATACATTTCTATGCTGATGACACAGTTGTTTATTGTCGAGCTAAAACTGTTGCTAAGGCTTTCCAGCTTTTGAAATCTGCATTCAACATCATCCAGACAGATTTGTTCCACCTCAAACTTGTCCTAAATGCCGACAAAACCAAAGGGATGCTTTTTTCAAATAGGAAGTTGGTCCCAGCAGTTCTTCCTCTGATCTCATCCTCAAATGGTGTCCCCATTGAGTTTGTTGAATCCTATAAATATTTGGGTATCTTGGTCGACTCACATCTCTCTTTTAAGCTCCATGTGGAAAACTTGGTAAAGAAACTGAAAGTTAAACTGGGTTTCTTTTTCAGAAACAGATCCTGTCTAACCCTGAATGGTAGAAAACACGTTGTATCTGTGACTTTCCTTCCCTCCATTGATTACGGTGACATTATTTACATGAACGCTCCTACAAGAACCCTGCAGATGTTGGATGCTGTCTATCATGGTGCACTAAGATTCATAACTGGCTGTGATTATCGTACCCACCACTGCACCCAGTATTCACTGGTTAACTGGACATCATTATCTTCACGCAGACTCTCTCACTGGTATATTTTCATCTTTAAATCACTTCTTGGTCTGCTGCCTTCATACATCTCCTCCTTCATGTCTCTGTGTGAGTGCAGCTACAGCGTGCGCTCTCGGGACATTATTACCTGCAGTGTTCCCTCAATGAGGACTGAACTAGGAAAAAGAGCCTTCTCCTACTCCGCTCCCGTTTCCTGGAATACCTTACAAAAAGATTTGAAGCTCTCGACCTTGACCTCTCTAAGTGGCTTTAAGAATCTGTTGGACTCCTGGCAGGGTCCAATGCAGACATGTTCCTGTTTTTAGTTTTTTACATTCTCCTTAGAATCTAGCTGTTTTTTGTTACTTTTCTCTTTACTTTTCTTTCTTAGCCATCCTATTTGTTAAAAAAAAAAAAAAAAAAAAAAATTGTATGACTTTTTATAACTGTTTATTGTTGTTGCTGTTGTCCATTGTTGTCATCATTCTTTGTTGAAATCAGGTCTCTCTTGTAAATGAGTCCTCGAGGTTCATTGGGATTTACCTGTCTAAATAAAGGTTGAATGAATGAATGAACATTGTTGGATTATCCACCTGAAAAGAGTCTTGATCTTCTTTCAACTTTAATGTGGCACGAACCGCAGTGTCCCCCCGCTAATGTTATATGAAAACATTCGGCTCATCACCATGATGTGTACTATTACTTTAAATGGCATTTTGAGTTACCATGGCAATGTAATTTGCCAACAAAGTTGACATTTTTCTCATTGAAAAACACTGACAGAACTCTTCACAGCCTCTAACTACCACAGGGGGGTCACATGACCTAGAGGCACTGATTAACGTTTGGAGCCATTTTGGTTCAAGATGGCTGCCACAGCTACATCAGAAAACACTAATTTGACTATAATTCAGTCATTCTTTGAGATTTTGAGCTGAAATTTGGTGTGGTCGTAGCTGAGAGAGAGCTGTTATAATGCCTAGTGCAAATTTTAAATCCAAAATGGCCACCTTAGTTAAAAGGAAAAAAATACAATAACTCAGCTATTTTAAAAGATATTGAGGTAAAATTTGCTGTGGTGGTACCTGACAGTGATGCACAGCACATTCTGAATTCAAATTTAAAAATCCAAGATGGTCCCAATAGCTTGAATGTTTGTTACTCGTTGATTTATTTTTTATTTTTTGCCCTATTGAGCTGAAACTTGATATGATGGTAGCTGAAACCCAACACTTAGTATTGTAAAATCAAAAATTTAAAATGGCCGCCACGTGGCAGTCTGTCAAAGTTTCTCCAGAAAGTTTCTAGATCACTCCTCTTTCTTAAAAGGAGTGAATAACGACACAGAAACAAAAGCAAACACAAGGGTCACTAAAAATAATTCAACTTAATCAGAAAACACAAAAGACCATGAACAAAAAAATAATGAAAATTATATTTTTTGGACCATTTTTGTTATTTATACATTTTTTGACTAAAGTAAAACCTGTTGGTTTATGTTTGAGAAACAAACATGTTTTCAAATTAAAAATGATTCTGTTGGTGTGGTCGTTGTTGTTTGTTTGTTTGGGTGTGGGCAGCAGGCCTCGCGTGATAAGGAACCTTCGGCGATGGATGATTCAAAGTCCAAGGCGTGAGAACGTGTCAGGACAACTGATGTGCCATGGCTGTGGGCCAAAGTGACCTGGAGCCATTTTCAGGAGTCAACTCCCAAATGGAATGCTAAAAACACAACACCAGTCTGTCAGGTTCGTTTCCTCTGCAGTTCACCCTGCACCACTCCTACAAGTAGAAGTAGTAGTAGTAAGTATTATGAGTGCATGCGTTTGTATTTGTAATTATTTATATCTTAACATGTCTTTTTGTCTTTCCTCCAAAAGAAAGTGACTTGACATTCTTTGTTTATTTGTTTCTCCTTCCTGTCCTTTTAAACGCCCTCCAAGCAGATGGCCACGCGTCAATTCAGTTTATTTATAAAGCGCCAAGTCAAAACAGAAGTCGTCTCAGGGCGCTGAACAGAAACATTCAGAAAATAATAATTGAACATTATTTATCTGAGGAGCAGACTGCTTTGAATTTAACTCCATCACAGAACTCTCATCTTGAGCAAGCATGAAGGCGAGAGTGGAAAGGAAAAACTCCATCATGAGGAAGAAACCTTTAGCTGAACCAGCTCAGGACTAGCAGACATCTGCTTCAACCAGCTGGGTTTGGAAGGAACAGATACACAATGGCAGGTCAAGAATCATATGTTAAGAGAAATAGTATCAAATGAAAACTATTCAATTTTAACAATTCATTTAAGGAAATGAGGTCAATTTGTCCTCCAGTAGTCTAAGCTTATGGCAGCATAAGAAGCCAACCCTAACTATAGGATTTATCTAAAAAAAAAATATTATGTCCTCTCTTAAAACTGGACAATGTGTCAGTCTCATGGACAGAAACTGGAAGTTGGTTCCACAAGAGAGGAGCCTGAGAACTGAAAGATCTTCCTCTCATTCTGATTTTGGAAACTCTAGGAACCGCAATTAAACCTGCAGTCTGAGAGTGAAGTGCTCTGTTGGGAAAATATGGAACAATAAGATCTCTAATATAAGATGGAACAACTCACCACACCACATACAGTGTTTGTCCTCGGTCCTAAACGGTGCAGGAGGAGGAGAGGGAGACAGCTACGTTAGTGCTGGCAGTTGTTGGGTGGAGGGTGGGTTAATCTGTGTGAGAGAAGTGGAGCACTACGACTGTAGCATCTTAGCTAGCATGTCTGTATTGCACGCAGCTAGCTTAACACCATGTTAGTATCGGCAGATGCCGACCGGGGTGGGGAGGTCAGGATGTGTGAGAGAAGCAGAGCGTGCTCTATTCACACAAGGAGAACTGTTGGTCAGGATACTTCTTGTTGCTCTCTAAAACAGTTATTGAATCAAGTGTTTACTTATGGAGGTAAACGTAGATGTTAAACAACTCATTAAAATACACCGTAATGCAGGAAATGGCATCTACTTTATTAAAAATGTTATGTGTGTCAGTGTGTCCCGCCACATTACAAATGCTTCTGATGCCAGTGACCTGAATGCAAAAGACTATGTGAGCCGCCGGGCCTTCTGGGTAATCTTGGAAATGGACGGACTTTTCAGGTTATTTGTTCAGATGGGTTGACCCTGTTGGTTCTGTTTACTGTTGGACTTGCATTAATGTTCAATTTGTTGTTAGTTACTTAAAAAAGTTGACACCATGAGTCGGATATTTCATTGAAGCTTAAAAAAGGGGGGAACGTACTTCCTGTTTAGCGAAATGCTGCATTTTGAATCAAAACGTATATCGGTGTAAACAAACTGTGACACGACATCATGTTTAGTCATTGCAGCCTCACTTCCTGATGTTCTAGCTCATTAATAATGTTATTTTGTACATCACGGGTGCAGATACTGAACAGAATAACGTTGACCTTCAAAGCTAACTGTTGGTGACCTCTGACCTAATGAAACTCTGACTCCTCAACTGAAGCATCAACAACTGTTTCAAAGAGATTTCAACTGCATCTTTACCAAGACGTATCCATGGTTACAAGTTTTTGTACAGTCTGCTCACACTAAGCAGAGTACACGATTTTTATGTATAGCACAATGTTTTTTTTAACTTAAGTTCTAGTTGAACCACATTAAAAAAATTTTTTTTAATTAACAGGATATTTTCTTAAACATTCTATCATCTAGCTCACAGTTAATGTAAAGATTTTATTATTAAACTAAATTAGTTGGGCTACATTGAAGTGAACTGACTCCAATAATCAATTTGTTGTTGTTTCATTTAAATATATCCAGCGGTTCATGATATATTTTGCTAACAGGGAGTTGACACCAAATATGCAATAGCTACATTTTAAACAAAGGCTTTATTCAATCTGTTATAACTCTGCAGGCTTACTTGCGGTTCCTAGGGTTTTCTAAAGCCGAATGTGAGGAAGATCTTTCAGTTCTCAGGCTCCTCTCTTGTGGAACCAACTTCCAGTTTCTGCCCATGAGGCTGACACATTGTCCAGTTTTAAGACTGGGCTTAAGACTTTCCTTTTTGATAAATCCTATAGTTAGGGTTGGCTTGTTATGCTGCTATAGATTTAGACTACTAGAGGAAAAATTGACCTCATTTCCTTAAATGGATTGTTAAAATTGAATAGTTTTCATTCGATACTATTTCTATTTTAACATATGATTGTTGACCTGCCATTGTGTATCTGTTCTTACCAAACTCAGCCGGTCAAACAAGATGGCCGCTTGTCCTGAGCCTGGTTCTGCTAAAGGTTTCTTCCTCATGAGGGAGTTTTTCCTTTCCACTGTCGCCTTCATGCTTGCTCAAGATGAGAGTTCTGTGATGGAGTTAAACTCAGAGCAGTCCGCTCCTCAGATAAATAATGTTAAATTATTATTTTTATATACGAATGTTTCTGTTCAAGTTCAAGTTTATAGTCGTTCACATCATGTGGTACATGAGATGGGACGAAATTTTGTACTCAAAGTCCCGTTACACCCAAAAATAGCAAAAATATACAGTATAAAAAGAAACAGTATAAGGATCTAAGATATAAACTAAGACATACGCTAAATGAACGCCAAACTGTATGCTAAGAAATGTATAATATACGCTAAACATTAATAATGTAAAACAATACAGCGTAACAACAGCAGCCTGAAAATGAGTCTGTAGTGAACAGATGGGTTTGAATATAGCAGCATAAAGGCAAGATAACAGCAGCATGGATGAAGTGTCAAATCTCCAATTAAAGTGTCATTACAGTGATTCTCCTGGTTAGATATTCATGAGTCTAACAGCCTCAGGGTAGAAGCTGTTCCTCAGTCTAGTGGTTCTACTCTTAATGCTCCTCAACCTCCTGCCTGAGGGGAATGGGGCAAAAAGTGAGTGTGCTGGGTGAGTGGGGTCCTTCATGATGCAGGTGGCCCTCTTCCTGCATCTGGAGGTGTAGATGTCTGTGATGGTGGGGAGACTGACTGGTGTCTTCTGTGCAGCTTTCACCACTCTCTGCAAAGCTTTTCTTTCTGCAGCTGTGCAGTGAGAGGATGTGAGATTCAGTGTCCTGAGATGACTTCTGCTGTGACTCGGCTCTGTACAAATAAACTGAACTGATGCTTCGGGGATCAGTCTCAGCTCACCAAATGTTATCTCAGTACTTGTAAAATTATTTTATTATAGCCATTTTTGTGTTTTTAAGGTCAGTGGGCTTACGATGTCAACTACTGTTAATCAGTTTATCAGTAGTGTGTTTTGTTTTTTTAATGTTTTGTGACCTTTATTGGGATAACATTACAAATGATTTCTAAATATAAATTTCTCCAAATTATCTGAGGATCCTACTTGAGGTCTGTCCCAGGCTGAACTTTGGCAGTCACTTAAAAATAATGTAGTAAATTTTCGGGTAAAACTTGATGTCAGAATATAATAATAAAAAATAAAACCTAGAAACATTATTTACGCGCGCGTAAAACTCGTGCGTAAAGTTGGCTCAGGGCATCCAGTGGCTTATGGAGATTATTATTGGGTGTTTGGCTTATTTTTACACTGTATTATTAATAAACTGATCAAACTTCATCTAAAAGATAGTAATCGAAACGTTGTTAACTCACCGCTGTCCTGCCGCGCTGTCTGCGCCTCTCTGCAGAAAGCTCCGTGCTCCCTGATCGCACCGTGCGGGAGGGGGTAGTCTGCCTTGTAGGGGCCGCTGGGGCCCATCCCATTCAGGCCGTAGTGGTGGTACCCGTACGGGTTCATGTGCTGAGCCGGGTACGGCTGCTGTGCCGCGTAAAGGTCCTGCGAGCCGTGGAGCACGCTGTAGAAGGCCGGGTCATGGGGGGAGGAGGACTCCAGCAAGGTGGGGGGATCCTTAGAACTCCCAGCTGCTGCGGGAAGGACCGGCTTCTTCTCCTCGAAGGCGCGTGGCAGCTGGCCGTTCATGATCTTGTTTGGTTCTTCTGTGGATCCTGTTTGCGCCACGGTCTTTGCGCAGACTGCAGCCGGAGTTCCCAGACTCCCCTGACGCAGCAGCAGTCAGGCTGTCCACGGCAGCGGGCGGCGCCCAACCCAGCAGAGCTCCTAATTACAGGGCGCGCCGAGCTGAGCCGAGCCAGGCAGGACAGAGAGGGGTACATGTCTCCTTCTCATTGGCTCTCCTGTTCGCTGCTTCTCTGCCCTGGAGCCAACAGAGCGCTGAGTGTCGCCTGTCTGGCTGCCTGCTCCCCGCACAAACTTCCACTGAACCTCCCTTGGATCATCAACATTAGCAAGGCTTTTGTCCCGTTTCTTATTTATTTTACCAAAACCTTTATAAAACACATTAAAACTCAAAGGCCTCACATTCCTTGAAAGGCAGTGTCATAAGTCAGACTTTTAGCAAGTGGTGGAACAGAGGTGTCCAAGGCTCTTTCAGGGGGCCACATACAAATAAAGGAAAGTGTTCTGTACCTCGAACTTAGTACCCAAAGAACATACATTCTTTACAATTTTCATAACCCTTATCCCTGAGTTATCTAACTAAACTGTTCAGGCGTCCACAGTTACTGAACACCAACAGCTCAGGGACTGAACATGCCACAAATATTATCATTACATAAACAAACGCTTATTTATGTAATAAATGAATAAATGCATTTATTACATAGGTAAAATAATAAATAAGTAATGTAGGTCAGGTCATTCCTGATGCATCCTTTCATTTCTGTGCTGACGACACAGTTGTTTATTGTCAGCTGGAACAGTTACTAAGTGTTTCAGCTTTTACAGTCTACATGCAACATCATCCAGTCAGATCTGTTCCGTCTTGTGCCAAATGCTGATAAAACCAAAGGGGAGTTATTTTCAAACAGGAACTCGGTACCATCAGTCCTTTCTTCTATTTTATCTTCAAATGGTGTTCCTATTGAGTTTTTGATTCTTATAAATATTTGGGTATTTTGGTCGATTCACATCTCTCTTTTAAGCCTCGTTGAAAACTTTTTAAAGAAATTAAAAGTTAAACTGGGTTTCTTTTTCAGAAATAAATCCTGTCTAACTCTGAATGCTAGGAAACACTTTGTAAACTCGTGTACTACGGTGACATTATTTACATGGACGCTCCTACAAGAACCCTGCAGATGTTGGATGCTGCTTATCACAGTGCGCTAAGATTCATAACTGGCTTTAACTATTGTACCCACCACTGCACCCAGTATTAACTGGTTAACTGGTCATCATTAACTTCACACAGACTCTCTCACTGGTACATTTTCATCTTTAAATCACTTCTTGGTCTGCTGCCTTCATACATCTCCTCCTACATGTCTCTGTGTGAGTGCAGCTACAGCGTGCGCTCTCAGGACATCATTACCTGCAGTGTTCTCTCAAGGAAGACTGAACTAGACAAAAGGGTCTTCTCCTACTCCGCTCCTGTTTCCTGGAACATCTTGTAAAAACATCTGAAGCTCTCGACCTTGACCTCTCTAAGTGACTTTAAACATCTGTTAAGTTCCTGGCAAAACCCAATGCAGACATGTTTCTGTTTTTAGTTTTCTACATCGTCTTATATCCTAGCTGGGTTTTTTTTTTTGCTACTATTCCTCTTGATTGTTCGACTTCAGGCGGGCCAGGAGAGAGGACCTCAGCTGACGAGCCAGGAGGGTGGACGTCGGGCGGACAATGAGTGAGGACCTCAGCTGAACCAGGGACGAGGACCTCAGCTGAACCAGGGACGAGGACCTCAGCAGATGAGCCGGGGTCCAGATCTGCAGCAGATGGTGGAGTCAGGGCTGCAGCAGTGGGTGCTGGGGCCAGAACTGCAGCAGTGAGTGATGGGGCCAGAACTGCAACAGGTGATGGGGCCAGAACTGCAGCAGATGATAGAGCCAGAGCTGCAGCAGATGATAGAGCCAGAGCTGCAGCAGGAGATGGAGCCAGAGCTGCAGCAGGAGAT